AAAAAAAAAAAAAAAAAAAAAAGCTTTACATGAAAACAATGATATAGAGTCACAGACTTTAATGCCAAACACACTGATACAGTTTACTACAAAGAATATCATTTCAAAGTTTTCAAAAACATGACTTACGTATTTTAGACAGGATAAAATTTATTTTGGCATACGTTATTAAAAGAGGTTAAGAATATTAATATAAATGAGATGGCGGCCGGGCACAGTGGCTCACTGTGAGGCAGGTGGATTGCCTGAGCTTACAGGTTGGAGATCAGCCTGAGCCAGAGCAAGACCTTGTTTCTTGTGGTCTTGTGTTAGGTGCCTGTAGTCCCAACTATAAGACGAGATGGGAAGGAAGCAAACTGTACTCCTGGAAATATATAAACCTAAATATAGTGATCAGAAATATACTGTTTAAAATAACTAATAGAGCACTATGGTAGATCATTTTGTCATACAAAGAATAACTTCTTTGATTTATCTTTTTCAAAAATTTGTATTTTTATGTTTGTTTAAAGCTTAAACATCAGATCAGTGCCCATAGCACAGTGGTTCTAGTGCCAGCCACATACACTGAGGCTGGTAGGTTTGAATCCAGCCAGGCCAGCTAAACAATAATGAGAACTACAACAAAAAATAGCTGGGCGTTGTGGTGGATGCCTATAGTCCCAGCTACTTGGGAGGCTGAGGTAAGCCCACGAGTTTGAGGTTGCGGTGAGCTATGACACCACCATACTCTACGGAGGGTGACCATGAGACTCTGTCTAGAAATAAATAAATAAATAAATAAAGCTAAAACATCTATATTTGAATAAAATTTGTCCAAATCCTCAGACAGTTAAGTCAATTACAATCAGATTTCCAATCATTCCTTCCTACAGAAACTGTCATGTGAATATCTACCTTATACAAACTGAACTATATGTGCAATTCAATCCATGACAAAAGCAATTTAAATAATGCAGTCAATTCCTTCCATTATTTTACTCAATAAACAAATGGCTTTGAATAAATTGAGGCAATAACTCAATTAGCTTTTCTCTCAGTGTCAGTTCCTGAGAGCTTCTCGAACAGTAAGACCATCTGAAGAGGGTATCATTTTTGAGATTTAACATACACATTTTTCTTTTTTTTTTTTTG